GCAAAACGACAAGGGGGAAGAGGGGGGAGGCCGCCAACAAGGCACGTTGGCTCACCTGCAGCACAAGGACTGCCGCTCGGTCCACAGGTGACATGTGGGCACCTGCAGGTGGCGGCGGGCCCCGCGGCGCCAAGGGTGTTTGGAAGGGCTGGGTTGGTTTCAGGCTTCCATAGCGATTTTCGGTTAGATGGCGACAATGCCATGGGTCCCTTTGGTTTTCCCGGAGGCAGGCACCTTGGTCCCTTCTGGTGGTCCTTGAAGGGGACCCGAAGGGAATCCCTATGATGTGTGTGTCTGTGTGTGTTACATGGTTGGGGGGTGCGTGACCCCATACCTGTAAGACTACCCATACGAGCCGAAGGCCCAAGGGAAATACTACAACGCCTAAAAGCCACGGAGAAAAGGAAAAACACCGCACATCAGCCCAGACTAGCGTCCAAAGGGGGTAATTGAGTTTCGGTGAGCCTATGATGTGATTTATGTTGTGTGGGACAGGGGAGTCATATCTTCACCCTGCGGCCGCTACCCGGCAGACCCTGCCTCCCCTGGTGTTTCGGGGCACCTTCATCTAGTCACTGTAGCCAACTCCTCAATGGATCGCTCAGGTGATATATGTATGATGCCGCACCTGCCGATTCAGCAGCTGCGGACATCGCTTCCATCATTTGCACGTCTACACGGCCCCACTGGAGCGTCGTCATGCCCTTGGCCACCCCATGAACGTCCTGGGAGGGATGGTAGGGGAGGTTTTAGGGTTTTAGGGCTCAGTGTAGGTATGGGGCTCCTGCGGTTGGAAAGGTTTAACACAAGATGGGATCGAACACGTCGCGGACGGCTCAAGAGGTAGTAGCGATGAGGAGACGGGACGCTGTCAGGTCGAAACTTCAATGTCAGGGGAAGGCATTCCCTTTAGGGACAACTTCAATGGGCTTCCCAAAGGGATCGATAACCCTAAAGGGTGATTTCGACCAGGATCTCGACTTTGGTTTCAGTTTCAGCATCTGGATCCGACCGGGACGGCTCATGGATCCACATACCCACGTAATCCAGAAGCTCACCTGCGCCTGGAAGCCCAGTGTGATGTGGAAATGCTGCTCGCGGCTAAGTCCCAGTGCCGCCCGGGCGGACCGACCCGCGGGCCACCCAATCACAACGAACAGCGCCTCATCGCCGGTTTCGGAGCTGCGAACCCGACCCAATCCGACAGGCACCCAGGCGCCACCAGTCGGTCCGGCCTGCGGCAAAGCGAAACAGAGCTCTAAGGTGAGGAAGGACAAAACTCAAATGTTCCTTACATGAAGGTTGAGGTGGGAGGGACGCCGTCAAGTGTAAGTCACGACTTAAACAGCGACACCAGAGGGTGTGTGGCGGGGGCCTCATAGCGGGGCTCCTCGGTTTATGGGATTCTAATCCTCACTGCGGCGGGGAATGCGTGACCATTACAGACATGTTAACGTTCAGAAACCTGGGCGCCAGCCCTGTAACTCGCCGTGTCTAAGTCTGTGCCAGTTTGGGTTTTCCAGCGCATCAAGGGGCTGGGCTGGGCTGGGGGTTCGCGCCAAGAGGAGCGCGGAAAAAGAAGAGAGGCCGACAGCCCTCGTCCATACAGCAGCAACAGCAGCGGCAGGGCCAATGCTCAAGCTTTCCAATTAAGGTTCGTATCCATTCTGAACATCCCTCAATGAATTGATTCCCCTTCCGGCAGACTATCATCAAATGCACTTCCAACCACGAACAGTTGTGTGACCCAAGTGTGCCAACCACGCACTCCTCACCACGGCCCGTACGACGTCGAACACATCCTGTGGCTCCATGCCATACTGGTTTCGTAGCTCAGTCATCTCGAGCGGCGTGATGAGCGTGATGTGGTGGTGCGGTCCGTCACGGTGTACCCTGCCGCCGTACAAATGCCGTACAGACACGTGCAGTCAGGACCGGCGCAAAACGAAAGGGGATCCGCGCACGCCGGTGACGTGGGGAATCCTCAGTGAAGCACGCCTGCGCCTTCTGAATCTCTGTAGAATCTCTGTAGGAGGTTCCCAGAGAATCTGGATCCAATTCTGTAATGGTACCTATCCCACACTCGACATCCTTGACACCGCCTAACTGGGAGTTATATGGTTTCCCTAAAACACTTCAAATACCGAGTACGGCAAAAAACGCGACTTAAATCGGTGCCCTTGGAGTTCATCAAATCACATTGGCTAACTAGTAGTACGGGAGGCTTTTTCTGGGTCCGTTCGTTTTTCCTAATCCTAATCATCAATTGCCATGTACGACACGGCCTGCCCACCTGTTGGCCACATGCCCCGGCGTCAGCCCAACACAGCCCGACTGGGCGATGCACCACTCGGCCACGGCGTCGACGGCGTTGCCATTTAAGGCAACATAGTAGCCGCCGTCCACGAGGTGCAAATGCGCCGCCGCCATTGCCGCCGCCGTCGCCACCGGGCCCGCCGTACCCACCGGCATCGCTACCGCACCCGCCGACGTTGACGCCGACGTGCCTGCACCTGGAACGCCGGCTGCTCTGGGTTTTGTCGCCGCGGCCCCCACTCCACAAGCCGCTTCATTCACAGCAGTAATGGTCCGCCGCTGCAACCTGCTGGACCTTGCTGGCCCCACTTCCGTTGCCTTCTCCTCAGCCGCCGCCGCCGCCGCCGCCGCTGCCGTCCCTTCTGGGGCTCCCTTGGCCGAGACGTCCAAGACGGCCCCCGTTACTGCTACAGCCGCCGCCACTGCTGGTAGACAGGGGGCCGGCTCCACCAGTCGCACCTCTATCGGATCCGATTTCAATAAATCTGGATCTGGACTCCCAGGCGGTAGATCCATATCTAGTTCTGGCATATCTGGATCTGGCAGCTGCGCCCAAAGGTCGGGCCGTAGTCGGTTCCATTGGATGGCCTTCTTACTCCAATGGACATTGCCGCCGCCGCCGCTGCCGCCGCCGCCACGACTTCCGCCTGCGCCTCCGCTGGCGGCGCCAGTGTTGCCGCCGCCGCTAGCACCGCCGCGAGCCCCCTCACCCATCTCAATGGCCTGATGGTCGCGAAAGCCATTGAAACAGCGATAACCATTGAGGGCCGAACAAGAGTTGGGCGGACGGCGCATTGGAAGGTATGTAAGGGAGAGAAATATTAAAACCGGGCAAAACCCAGGACTGTAGACGGCGGCAGGAATGCAAAAACCGTACAAAACTAGAGGAAGAAACGAGAAAAGTGGACAAAACCCAGACAGGCTGGGTACTGAAGCGGACCGTACTGATGCTGTTCGATTTGAGACTGGTGACGGCCAATATGAGTGACTGTAAAGCATATTGGTGTGCATGCAGGGTTGAATTTCCAGCAAGCGAGTATTATTATATCATTATGGGCGTTGGAGCAGGCACACCACCTTTCGCCGGGCCTTTCGATTGGTGGCCACGTTCCGTTACCACTTGTGTACTGTACAGAAAAAGGTGTGTATGGACGCAGCCGTGGGAGAGCCACGGGATCCCGGAACCCTCTGTGTGTTACCTGTTAAGAACGGCAAACCAGCAACCATTGCATGACATGGTGCACGGTATACGGCACGTAGAGTTATAAATCTGCTGGACTATATACCACACTTTTGCACGTGCCGTACATTGCACTTTTATCGTAATTGTGCGTATATACCTGATGAAATGCTGGATTCACAACCTTGGCACGTGCAACCAGCCACCCCCCGCCGGCCTGCCCCGTGCTGCTGCCGTACTCGCCATCTTCCCGGAGCTGCTCGTCCTCCACCTCTTCCAGCCGCAATACTACCCCTTCCGCCCACTGCTCGGAGTCGGGCACACAGAGCGCGCTCCGAAGCCCCAGGATTAGCTTCCGTACAGCCTCCAGCGCGTTGGGCCCAGTGAAAGCCCGGCCTGGCGCAGGCACCACGGATGGGACCGAGCGCACACCGGTATGGCGTAGCAGCTCATCCCTACGACGGCTGCGGGTTAGGGCCGAAACCACCAAACACAGAGAGCAGCAGGCGTATGTGCCGCAATGACCACCCACAGCGCACGGGGCATGCAGTTCCATGCAAGGACGCGGACATTTGTCCGAGTGGAAGTGTGCGAGGAGGGAAAGAGGCAGATTGAGGTTGTTGCTGGGTTGGCGAAATCGCGGCGGCAAGGGGTTAGCGTAGTGGGCTGCAGTCGTCGTGAGTCAGGCCGCTGTGTGGAGGCGGGAGCACCAGGTAGGCGCCAGATGCAGCAGAAGCTGGCGGAGAATGCAGGCTCACCTGCTTAGGAATTTTGATGTCTGCTTGTCATATACGTCGAAGGCCAGGAACCAGTCGGGCAGGGCATCGTATGGGACGCTATGCCGTGCTGCAACCCATTCACCGTACAGTACGTACCGTGTTCCTGTACAGTCAGGTTTTAACATCACACAACTTATTTTCCTGCTGATACTTAGTAAAATGGTATAAGGATAGAAGCCAAGCAGATCCAAGCAGAAGCCTCAAACGATGTGACTGCAAGTATGAAATCATTTCATTTCCCCATTATGGGGACTTGCCTAGGGCTTGCCTCAGCTCTTCCGTGTGTTGGGATAACCATGAATCGAGCTTGCTAAACTGCTGCTCGCTCTGATATGTCACCCAATGACCGCGTTTTTGGCACCTTGGTGGCCCGTCGCTCGTGCCGAAGGAGATTCCCAAGTTTGCTCCATCAATTTTTTCTTCTACGTTAGAGGAACTCAAACAGGTTACGGTGATTTGATACAATACTTGTTGAGCTCCGCACGTTACATCACGTTATAAGCGCTTACCGATAACGACCCCACGCGCAAGCATACGAATCGCGTCAGCTGGAGCCATTACCAAATCGTCTCTGGATGCAGCTCCCATGTCGAATAAATGGGGCGTACGTGGAAACTTGATAAAGTCCGTCGTCGCCATCCTACCTTTCGTTTGTAGCTTTAGAGGACTTCCTAAAACAAATAAGCTTTTACCTGTGTTGGCATATTCATCCTGTTATTAATATAATGTGCACGACAGGGCCTGAGCTCCTCTTGTGCCGGCACCTGCCGACCGGCCGTGACCTGGCCCGACGAGGCCCGGTAAGTCCACGCATCTGGGAACTCGTACTCTACAAGCAGGCAAGCAGGTAACTAATAAAGAAAAGATCGATTGTACGCGCATCAGGTTGTTTCGGAAAATTACGAATCATGAAACCCTCCCTATCCAACCACCTCCCCTAATCACTGTGCCTAGCTGAAAATGCTGCTGCAGTTAATTCCTAAGGATTGCCGGTACATAAGTGTAGGGCCGAAGCCAAACACTGTAGGGCCGAAGCCAAACAGTGCAGAACCGGCAACCGACCAGAGGCACACCACTGCATAGTACGCCTGAAGGTGTAACCCCGCCAAGACAAGAGGGGCCCAGTACCGAGGGGGGATGAAAACCGCTCATAAAGTGAAGTTATCCGACGCAGGGGAAGTTAACCCGATGTTCACCGCGTCAATCACCACGAAAAAGCAACCCAGCTCGCAAGAGGGAACTCAAATGCACGCTTAAATGCTTACTAGGACTTCTCAAGTTTCCGCCTGCCGCATCTCCTAGCAAACGGGCCAGAGTTGAAGGTTACGTTCTGAGGCATAGGAACGATGTCGTCAGCATGGACAGGCGGAGGAAGCGATCGGACCGCAGTCAATGCGACTGTTGCTGGTCAAACCAGGCCTGTCGTGGCCGGTTTGCAGTCGGGTGTCCGTCTCGGTCGCCAAGGGCAAGTAAGGAAATGTCAGTCATGGCCCGACTCCGGTCCTTGCTCGGTAATGGCCCTATCGTTCCGCCAGCAAGTTTTTGGTGGTTGTGGCATTCCAATCACATCCATGTGCGCCTATGTGCTGCATAGTTTTATATGTTTTAGTTAGAGGTGATGGGTGACGGAGGCATCGCGCCCCCGACCGCTCAGCTTACTTTCAAGACGGGGCCCGCAAGTCAGGTATTATGGTAACAGAGCCGTTTGTTTTGCGTGTGGCATTTTCAGCCCTTGCTTTGTTCCGAATAAATCAATATTTGTTACATTAGATTCTACAAGGAGCGTTCTTATCGGACAAGTCGGCGCATGACGGAGCCCGCGTCAATAACATCAATTCACGCTGGATGCTGGATGTACCGAAGTCGAGTCCTGCAAACTTACTACCCACCAGAGTCATGCAGCTGACCGTAGAACCATTACGGTATCATTAGTAGCTCTTGAACCAGCTGGGGCCGGCTGGCCCCCCGGGAGGATGAAGAAAGATGTCATGAAGGGCGCTCCGCAGGGGAAATTAGCCAACGCAGGGGTTTTGGAGGTATTGGCCGAATCCCTATTTATTGATAGCTGCCAACCAACCCCCCGCCGACGTCTCAGTTCAGCCCGCCAAAGTAAAAAATCGGATTCTCGACTGCGCTCGGGGCTCACGAACCGGTGACTGAATGAGTTTGGATCTGTCCTGTCAAGAAGGTAACGGCAGCATCGGCGGCTGTATATCTCGAGAAAGTCCTCCTCGAAGCCGGGCTCCAAGCCTCGTGCGAGAAATAACATCTTTTCTGCGTGCAATCATTCCTGTTTGCCGCACTGGCACTGCCAGTCTGGCAGGTAAGGTTACGGAAAACATCATTGCGCCTGAAACCGCAATGAGGTGCATAGGGTACGGCATGTACGGCACATCATGTCACACGCCAAAGTCGCGGCACGTGTGACATGTTCTGGCGCGCCACTTCACGTCACTGCAGACCATGCTCTGGCGGCTGGCAACTTGGAATGCATGTATCCATTTGAAAGGTGGTTACGGTGCACGATGCGATTGTTACAGTAGCCAAACATACACAGCACCAACTACACCACCACCAATATGCAGGCACCGCACATCTGCCTGTTCTCTGGTCTACTTCTTCCCCTCATCGCGGCCATAGAATACTGGCTATTGGTTGCAATGACAGAATGAGCGGGCGATAAGCTTATTGGTGTATTGGAGTTTATTGTTATAGGTGTAGCCTTCTGAACGCTAAACAATCGGGCAGCAAGATTACGACGTTGTTTTTCCCAACAATATCGACTAACGTAAGAAGAAGCGTCGGCAGTAGTGGCGACAGTAGTGGCGGCAGTAGCAGTAGCAGCAGCAGCTAGTAGCATTAAAAGTAATAGCAAGAATATTTCAGGGGGTTTCCAGCCATCACAGCAGCGTGAAGTACAATCCATATCAACAGGACGGACATCTATCTATTTACAACGCCGTTTCGTCTTTCCCTGCGGATGCATGACATGGGCCCTTCACTCACGAAAGTCCCCTCCGCCGCGGCTAACGAAAATTTAGCGGCAGCAGCAGCAGCAGCACCTGAGCGGCAGCAGCAGCTATGCGAATTTTCCATCGTATGCATTACACCTGCGTCTTCCGGTGCGCGCTTCATCGCTTCATAATCGTCCGCCGCCTCCATTCAGCTGCCATCACCGCCGTCGCGAGC